TGTCCTGCTACCAGGCTTTGCCAGCTGAAGCGCTGTGTCTTTCCCTCTGTCTTATTTTTCTTTCCTGTGCTTCCCTTTGCTGTGTCTGTGGGAACCTCGTTTTCCAGTCAAGAACTGTCGGATTAACTCACATTTCCTTCCTGGCCGCCCTTCGCGCTGCGCCTGCAGGCCTGTTGCCTCTTACACCACGTGCCTTTTTTTTTTAAAAAACTGAGACATGAATCATATAACACGAAACCATTTTAAAGTACGCAGTTCAGTGATTTCTCAGTTATTATCTGTTGGGCAGCCACCACCACTAATCTAATTTCACACATTCGTTTTGGGTGCTTTTTTTTTTTTTCCCAGCTGTCTTTACCGCCATGAGCTTTTTACTTCTTCCTGGCAGGATCTCACATGATAATAAAATAAATGATCAGGGCGATGGGCTTTCTTTTTCTGGCCTTTGCCGCCTTTTTGTTAATTTTTGAGAGAGGGGACTATTGTGGTAAAATAGTCAGACTATTGGACATTGTATTGCCTATTAATTAGTAGAATGTTTAATTGTGTGTACATATAATCTCATTGTGGTCCAAAGGGAATATAAACATATGAAATGACCAGGTGGCAGAGATGAGAAACAAGACCATTACATGCAGTTGATAATCTGATATGACAAGATTCAGTCTATGTGACCTAGAGTCATCTTTAAGAAGTGCCTTTAGAATCTAAGTGGTTCTGGCTTAATTTTTTTGTGTGTGTGTCTTATAAAATATTCAGTGTAGTCAGCGTTTCTATTCTTGTCTCAGTGTTAGGTTGGTCTATTTTTATTGTGGCAGAAGTGTCAAGTCCTTTCTATATTTGAGGATTTAAGAAGTCCTTTCACCTGCCACTCCACACAGCCCAGTTAGGTAGCGTCCGATGTTCTCGGTGAACTGTCAGAAGCACAGAAGTGTGTTTGCACGCGTGTGTGCGTGCAGTTGTGTGGTTCTGAATCAGAGGTGCACTCGTGCCAGGGAGTGAGGGCGTGAGCTCTCTCCCTGTCCTGGGTGGCAGGAGCCTAAGTCCCTGCACCGTCCGTGCCATCTGTCGTAAGTGGGACTAAGTGGCAGTTGACTAAAATGCTTAAGACTTCTTTTTGTTCTTATGAAACAGTGAGCATGTGGAAATGCTCTGGAAACCAAAACGTTTTTTTGGTTTTGTTTTTATCAAAGTTATACATGTACTTTTTTGTGTTCTTTGTGTTTACATTAAAAAAAAAATACTTTTTACGTTAGATAGTTTAGATTTACAGAAAAGTCGCAGAATTAGTGCTAACTCCTGCATGTTCACTTGTGACAACTAAGGCTGTGGCATCTGTACATAATTATTAACCAGATTCCACATTTTATTTGGATTTTACTAATTTTTTCCTAAAATCCTTGTTTGATCCCGGAACCCCACGCAGGACAGACATCCCATCACATCGCATTTCACCATCATATTTCCTGGTCTGTGATAGTTTCTTAGACTTTTCTTGTTTTTGATGATCTTGACAGTTTTGAGAAGTACTGGTCAGTATTTCATAGAAAACTCCTCAATTTGGGTGGGTCTGATCTTCTCATGATTAGAAACTGGGGTTATGGGTTTTGAGAAGAAGCCCTCTGGCCCAGGTTTGGTTTCTGAAAGCACCCCGCCATCACACAGACCAGCGCTCCTTGGACTAATGGCTGGTTCTGGAGCCGGGGCACAGAGAATACATGATGGACCCGGAGTGTCCTCTAGTGCCAGGAAGCAAGGATGGGTCAGAAAACGAGCAGGAGCGTGTCACAGGGACATGAGAGCCGACCACAAGAGCTCCCACTGGTCGAAGCTGGGACGGTTTGAGCAACAAAGTAAGTAACGTGGTATTTTTGATAATTAGTGTTATTTAGGTATAACCTAAAGTATAAAACAAATACCTACAGTTTGTATTGACATAAATGACTAAATAAATAGGGAAGGGGCAGAGAAGAGACAGTCTCCCAGATGGAAGTCCAGATGATGGGTGCTCCCTCTCCTGGCCTCAGCGCCCTCCGCGCCCTGAGTGGGCCACACCCCCCCGACTTGCTTCCTGAGGGCGGAGTGTGGGAAGGAATGGGCGTGGGGCGTACAGGGCTGTCCCCTCTAGATTTGTGAGTCTTTTAGTTTTCTGCCATTTTATTCATAGAACACGCTTTACCTTCACCTGTGTACATGTAGACTTTTGCCTAAATTTTCTTCCAGTTTATTTAATGCTTTAAATCAGTATGGAATTTATTTTAGTATATAGTGCAGGTAAGAATGCAACTTAATTTTTTTCTAAATAGCCAGTTGCCTTAGCACTATTTTTTATATAACCTACCTTTGGTTATAACGACTTAGCCTAGAAATAAAAGAGATATCAAGCAGTGTAAATGTGTGTGTGCCACTGTGTGTTTCTCTCTGACGAAGTGGCTTGCGTAGTTATAGTTGCGTGATGGTGGCTTAGTTGGGAGATCTGGAAACTTGGGGTCGAGGAGTGCCTGAGGGTTGCAGAAGATTTAGAGAGCCCTGTGCCTGTAATACAGAACTGTTATCTTGTAGACGAGCTAGTAAATATATTTTGGGTTTATTTTAGAAGGAAGAAATTGGCTCAATGGGTAGAAGTTACAAGGGAGGGAGATAGCTACTAAGCAAAAGAAATAACTATCTAAGTAGTGGAGCAGTCTGACGAGGAGCCGACGGTCTTGCAAAGCAGGGAGGCCTGTGTTGTAGGAAGTGTGTCTGCAGACCTGGAGCAGTCATTTACCAGGAAGGTTCCCGATTCCTTAGCTCCCGGGTGGGACACTGCCGATTCCTGAGTGGCTTCCATGTGTCTGTCAGGAACTGCTTTGTGCCTCACCAACGCCCTGCCGTGCGTGCTCCTAACAGCCTGGTGAGGGCGATCTGCTAACCTGCGAGGCTCGAGGGGGTGTGGGGTCTGCCCTGCCCTGGCTCTGCACTTGTTACTCTGGATTCAGCGTCTAGCTTCCACATTTTCGGAGAGAGCTAAGCACCCCCCCTCCCCCGCATTTGGATTCTCATTAATTTTCTTTTAAGAGTAAGTTAAAAAAGTGTCTTAAGCAGATATTTTTGTGTGTGTGTGCATCCAGATGACAGTTACGTTTGTCACCCTTGTCTGTAGTGTGAGCACGCCGTGCAGTCACCAGTTTGTTATGTGCTCCTTAAGAAGTTAAAATGGGGTTTCTTTAAATTATTTACTTATTCTTTAGATGTTATTAGTCAAGGTGTCCCCTCAAAGTGATTGTCATTTTCATTTTGCATTAGTTTTTTTTTCCTGCACGGAGGTCCTACCTTTTATGGTTTTCCTACCTCTCCCTAAACCCTCTGACCCTACCCCCTTTTCTCTCTTGCATGAACAACTGCTCTCTCCTTTCAGCCACCACTACAGCCCTTAGAAATGTGACACTGACCCCTTTATAATTGGACAGAATTTACTCTTACGTAGATTAATTATGGCGTGCTTACACCCCAAGAGCTTTTATTTTCCAGGGGTGGTCTGAGCAGTGAAGTTGCTGTCATTTCTTACTAGGTCTGGAGGCATCCTTTTCCGTCCCCTGGGTTTAGTATTGTAGGAAGACTCTGAGAAGTCGCGGGCTCCGTGTTTGGCTCTCAGGAGAGGCAGCGGCCCTGCCGCAGAGGGCCGGGAAGTGAGCGTGATGTACTACTGATGGGTTTTCTTCCGTGGCACTGTCCCCTGAAGCCCTCTTCCCTTTCCCGACCACTGCCCCGGCCCCCTTCATCCTCACCCCCAGGCTCTTGCCTTCAGAATGCAGGTGTCCCGTGACCTCACTCCCCTAATTCCCTAGTCTTGGCACTGTGTGTCCGCGCACAGTGACCCCACAGCCTGATCTAACAGCTTGCAAGCAGTGGGCACTTTCCAGCCCCGCCTCGGCCCCTTCGTTCTCACGGCCGGCAGTGCCCTCCACAGTCCCGCCCGGAGACGGTGCTCGTTTGATAAGACCGACCTCCGTTCATCGGTGGAGGTGCCCACTGCCCCCTCATCCCCCATGCTTCTCCCCCCATGCTTCTCCCCCCGTGCACTTCCTGTCGCCGAGCCTCCAGCTCTGGGTGCACGTGGTGCTTTAGCTTCCTTCCTCCGCCAGCCCGCACGTCCCTGAGGGTGAAGCCCCGGTCAGCCTGTGTACCCCAGGGCCTGGCTCAGGGCTCGTGGTAGGAAAACGCCGCGCCGTCTGGTTTGGGGAAGAACAGAAAGGCTGCGTCACGTGGAGGTGATACGTCAGTACTTCGCTGTCAGAGGCGGGGGAGGCCTTTTGAATCTCCTGCTTTCCCTGGGGCTTCCAGCTCTGGGCCCCTCCTCTTCACTCGTGGGCACGTTGGCAGTGCCCGGTCAGCACCTTAGCCTACTGGTGCTGCATCCCCGTCACCTGCTGGTCCCTCGGGTGTGCATTCAGCACTTCCTGCGTGACAGCCTGAGACTGGTGCTGAACAAGACACACGAGGCCCCTGCTCTCCTGGAGCGGGCAGTGGGACATCGTGAAAAGTGTCTGCCTTTCAAGTAGAGCTGATGCTCCAGGGGATCTGACACCACACGCAAAACCAAATCTGGTTTCAGGGAGTGGAAGCGGCTTGAGGAAACCGCCTGACCTGTGATCTGGCTCCCGAACAGGCTTTCCTAATGATCACTGTTCGTGGCCTTTATTTTTTTCACCTTAATGCTAGAATTTAAAAACATATACAAAACTAGAGAGGAGAGTTAAAAAGAACTGTTGCTTAGTTTCAGCGATTGTCGCCGTTTGGCTGATACTGTTTTACCCGCCTCTTCCCTTCCCCTTCCCCTTCCCCTTCCCCTCCTGTCCCTTCCCTTCCCGGCCTCGGGTGGTGTTTTAGTCAGTTCCAGACACTGCGATCTCCTCCCGGGCCCTTGGCGGTCTGACTCAGCGGGCATGCTCGGCCTTCGTCTTCCATGAGTTGTCACAGCACCGATCATCCTGCTCACGTCACTCTCTTCCATGTTTCAGACGGACCTAGCCCTTGTTCCGCTACTCTGATCGTTCCCGTGTTCCTTTGCTGGCTCGCTTTCTTCGTGCCGTGACTGCTTCTCAAGCCTTTGTCTGGTAAATATGTTACCAAGAATTTACTATCTCTTCTGCGTTTCATTCAGGGAAAGAAAAGCTTGCAAACATGCAGAGAAAATTTCGTTCACTGAGAGTATGTGTTCTAGAAATGCTATATGGATATTGTGCTGCTTTTACTCTTTGGCTTTAATTTTAATTGCTGTCTTTTCTTCATTAAAAAAACTTCAGACATAAGCCGGAAAAGTACTTAAATCAGTCCACCAAGGGAAAAACAAACAGTACAGAATATAGTATCCAAGAAAATACACATATTTATTATTTATCTAGAAAAATGTTAAATTAAAAGGCTTCAGGTGTGTATTTTATTGAAGTGAGCATAAATTAAACCTGTAATGAGGTGTCTGATGTTTCTCTTTTTCACTCTAGAATGTATGACAGCATGTCCACAATGGTGTACATAAAGGAAGACAAGCTGGAGAAGCTCACGCAGGATGAAATTATTTCTAAGACAAAGCAAGTGATCCAGGGGCTGGAAGCTCTGAAGAATGAACACAATTCCATTTTGCAAAGTTTACTCGAGACACTGAAGTGTTTGAAGAAAGATGATGAGAGTAATCTGGTGGAGGAGAAATCAAACATGATCCGAAAGTCACTGGAAATGTTGGAGCTGGGCCTGAGTGAGGCACAGGTATGAATGAGAACGTCTCAGACATGAACATGAAGTTGACAGTCTGGAGCAGTGGAGGCTTCGTTTGAAGTGTGGTTTAGACTGGCGAGAGGATCCTTACAGAATAATAGATCAACTTACATGTGGGTTGTGTATGTTACAATGGTTTAGACTGGCGAGAGGATCCTTACAGAATAGATCAACTTACATGTGGGTTGTGTATGTTACATAAACAATGATTGATTTGGGCCTGTCTAAATTTCAGAAAGCAGAGCCAGCACAGAGGTAGCCCTGTGTGTCCTTTAGGGTTTTGTTTGGCTGCACATGTCAAAAACCAAAAATAGCGGCTTAAACCTCATAGATGTATGTGAAACGAACACCAAGATAGGCCATCCCAGACAGCATCCGCAGCTGCATGGTCATCAGGGACGCCCAGGCCCCTGCCACCTGCCGCGCTCCATCGCGGGCAGCCTGTCTCCTGGTCCAAGACAGAGCTGCAGCTGTGGCCACGTGACCCCACTCTGGAGCAGGGAGGGCTGCCTCCGCCCTTTACTTCCTCTGCTTGCGTTTCGTTGGCTAGAGCTTGGTTCCGTGGCCACACCTCGTGTGCAGAAGACTGGGGAACGGCGTCTTGGCCATTTAAAGCCCCAGGCTCTTCAGCCTGGGGAGCAGGGAAGAACGGGCGTTGGCGGGCAGTAGCGGTCCCTGCAGTACCCCAGGACGAGAGTGCTGTGTGTAGTTGACTAAACTGCCCTTCCTGCCTCGTTAGACATAGAAATGAAAATCTCGGAAACCTCTAGGCGTCTCTCCCGCTATAACTTGGCTCTGCCAACATGTCGTCGGTAAAAGTAAATGCACTCGAAATTGGCTGGCTTCTTTCTCAGCTTCCTTTTTGTGCAGTGGGCGAGCGAAGCGGAAGGGGAGCTGCCGGGTCAGCGGTTTCTCGTTCGCGGAGGAGCTCGCCCAGCGCGCACCCGGCGCCCTGGTCTCTGGCGCCCCATCCCGACCATTAGAGTCCAGCTGCAGGGCTCTGGCGTCGCGTGGTCATTGTGCGGTTGTTGGTTTGCAAGTTCCGTTGTTGAAAAGTGATGTGAGGGTGCGGCAGACGTCAGTGTTAGGACAGGACGGAGCACGCCGCCGAGACCGCTTCCCTCGCCTTCCTTCGGAACAGGGAAGCTTCGTCTGCCTGCCCCGACCCTCACAGTGCCCTCGTCCCATACACGCGTGCCGGAGGCTCCGAGAGATGCTGGCGCTGTCTGGATATAAAGTAAAAAATACAGTTTTATAATGCATGTCCGTTGCTAGTTCCTTTGAGATGCTCTCAAACAGAAAAACAACATGTGTATTTTGTAGCCGGTCTGAGCATGGGATGCTCTTTATCACTCCGCATACGTAGCCCGTGACCGAAGGGGCAGATGGGGATAAATGGCAGAGGGCACTTCCGTGTGCACCGGAGCCGCATCTGCAGATGGAAGCCACAACAGCAGCGGCCGGCGCAATGTAAACGTGTCCGTCTGTTCGTCTAGGTCATGATGGCTCTGTCCAGTCACCTGAATGCCGTGGAGTCGGAGAAACAGAAGCTGCGTGCGCAGGTCCGCCGTCTCTGCCAGGAGAACCAGTGGCTGCGGGATGAACTGGCCAGCACGCAGCAGAAGTTGCAGAAGAGCGAGCAGTCCGTGGCCCAGCTGGAGGAGGAGAAGAAGCACCTGGAATTCATGAACCAGCTAAAGAAGTACGACGACGACATCTCTCCGTCCGTAAGTGCTCCTGGGGGGCGGGGCTGCCCTTCGCGGCTGTGGTTGGCAGGTGACGTTCCTTCCCCCCCAGCCACGCGTTTAGCAGATCACGGATTGTGCTCTTGGAATGAGTCCCCAGGCATGGCATGTAAGTTCTGGTGTCATTTGTGTTTTTTAGAAGAGTGGTCAGAACATGGACAAGTGCTCTGTAAACGTCAGGTGCGGCGCAGAGGGGCTGAGGCCTGCCCCAGCTTGAGACCCACACACCCTCACGCGGTGCAGTCTGGCCACCAGGCCCGTCACGCTGCTGGGCCTTTGCTTCAGGTCAACACTGACCCGATCCAATTATCCGTGACCAGACTCAGGAGGGACTCTGTAGCTTATGGTGCCGAGGGTCTTCTCTTTGAAACCCTTCCTGGTCCCCAGGACACTGCCAGCTTGGGGTCTCCTGCCAGCTTGCTCAGGGCTCCTCCTTGGCCTGTCTTGCCAGCTTATCTTGTAGTTTCTGGAACGTTAGGATTTCAGGTTTTCTCTTCTACTGGGGGCTCTCTTTGGGTGTCCATCCCAGTCTTGATTATTTTTCACCCACCATTTGTTTCTGATTCAATTAACTGAAAATACCTTTTTAAATTTTAGCTTCACAGAAAAGTAGAAAAGGCAGTAAAGAGAATTCCCATGGACCTCTTACCCGGTTTCCCCAACGTTAGGTCTTACGTCACCGTAGCACGTGCCTCGTCTGCTCGGCCGTGGAAACAGAATGCTGTAGGCTGCATGGCTTATAAAACAACATTTCTCACGGTTCTGGAGGCTGCAAGTCTGAGTCAGGGTGTCAGCGTGGTCGGGGTTTGGTGGGGGCGTTCTTCCTGGTTGTGCCCTCACACGGCCTCCCATGGAGCTTATAAGAGAGAGACAGAGGTATGGAGAGCTCGTGTCTTCCTCGTAAGGTCACCAGCCCTGTCACGGTGGCCCCACGTCCATGACCTCGTCTAGCCCACAGTACCTCTTAGAGGCCCCGTCTCCAGATACCGTTGCATTGAGGGCTCGGGCTCCAACGTAGGAATTCGGGGGCGGGCACAAACGTCCAGTCCGCAGCTGGACACTTGGTAAAATCATCGCTCTTAAGTAAACCACAGCCTTTATTTGGGCTCAACAGTCCTTCCACTAGTGGTCCTTTTCTGTTCGAGCACGCCTGCATTCCACTCTGCATTTTGAGCTGATACTTCTAAAATGCTTACACGGTGCTAGGCGTGTTCACTACATGCCCTGTGTGCCAGTGATCTCTGCACCTGTCTCCGCGAACCCTCTCCCGGAGGCTGTCGGAGAGGTCCAGCGCCCCGGCAGGCCTGCGCTGCCTGGGGTTCGTCGGCTGCGGCCGCCGTGACGAAATCCCACAGACCACGTGGTCTGAGCAACAGAGCTGTGGCCTCACGGTTCTGGAGGCTGAAGCCCGAGGCCTGGCGCCAGCGCCGGCGGTGCCTGGAACACGTTCTCTTCCCGCTCACAGATGGCCACCTCCCTCTTGCCGTGTCCTTACGTGGTGGGGTTGGCGGGGAGAGGGAGCACACACTCTGGTGTCTCTTCTCATTAGGGCGCCAGTCCATCATGAGGGCCTCACCCTTGTGACCTCGTCTAAACCTAATTCCCTCCAAAGACCTGGTCTTTAAAACCGCCACACCAAGGGCAGGGATTCAGCAGAAGATTTCAGGGGGAACACAGTCCATAGTACCCTGTTTTATTAGGCTTGCTTTATTTGTCTCTTGCATCTCTGGCTCAGGGCCAACAACGAAGTGTTTTGACTTAAGAACCTGCCGTGGGCTGCCGTGGGACCCAGGCCGCGTGGGCTTGCGGCTGCGCCAGCGACGCACCTGGGGTACTGGGTCATGTCGAGCGGGGGAAGCTGGTTCCATAGAATCTGACTTCTAAAACTTTTTATTTTTAAAATAATGTCTGCCTTGGAGAAGAGATTCAGCGAGTAACTGCCTCCCCTTCCGGCGTGTACACGAGTGATGTTCCTCTGAACCCTGCTGGAGTAGGTGGCACACCTCATGCCACGGTCCCTTGCTGTCACTGGGCACGTTCTCGGCATGAGGACATTCTCTTGTAGGATGCAGGGTCAGGGTCAAGTTCAGAAATGTAACAGGTTCAGTGCTTCATCTGCTTTGCTGTCCATATTCTACTTTTGTTGATTGTTTCAACAGAGTTCTTTCTAGCATTTTTCTACTCCGTTTCGTTATCTAGCTTAAGAGCATGTACTGTACATATCTCCTCAGTCATCTTTTCTCTGGAACAGTCCTTTCCAGAGAAAGAAGCGTCTGTCTTTTATGACACTGGTTCTTCTGAGGAATGCAGGCCGGTTACTTCATAGGCCCTTCCTCAGTGAGGTCTGTCTGTTCCTTTATGAGTGTATCCGGGTCATGCGGCCGAGTAGGACTGTGACAGTGACGTGCGTGCTTCTCAGACGAGTCCTCGGGCAGTGCAGCTTCTCACCTGGTCACACCGTCTTCTGTTTTTACCTTGCACTGGTCACGGAGCTGTGGCGACCTGAGTCACAGGCTTTTGCAGCTGGGAGGTTTCGAAGTGCTCTCGGTCCCGGGGGTGGGAGGGGACATCTAGCCCTCCGGTGCTGTGGCGTGCAGAGACGGGCTATGTTCATGGTTGCACGTACGCTCGGCTCGAAGCCTCTCAGGACCCTGGGCTTGGGCTCTGAAGCCCGGAGACGCCATTGTTCAGTTCTGCCCGCCGCGCCGTGGCCTGCCTGCGTTTAGTGTTTTCAGTTTGTCAGGCAGCTTTTTATTACTCTTCACTAAATTGGCGAATAAGCCAAATTGCAAGTAATCTTATATGTGATCTTAAAAATAGACCATTTTTTCTAAGAATTAAAGTGAAATTTTCGTCAAAGGCGTCCAGTACGGGATCCGTAGTACTTGTGAGACTAAGGTTATTCTGGTTGGTTTCACAGGAGGATAAAGACAACGATTCCACCAAAGAGCCCCTGGACGACCTTTTCCCAAATGACGATGACGACCCCGGCCAGGGGAGTAAGTGGGGAGTGGTGGGGAGATGTCAGCAGGCAGACGGGAGGCGGCGTGTACCCTTGGGGTCATCGGTGGGCGTCCCAAGAGAAATTCAAGTAGTTTTCTTGCTGGGGTGTTGGACCAGGCCCGCTCCGGTCTGTGGGGCCCTGGGAGGGGAAGGCAGAGTCCATGTTCCTGGTGCTGAGAGCAGTCTCGCTCCGTCGGGGGCATCGTGCCACCCCGACACATCACCGGTGCCTGCAGCTTGCTTAGGGGTGCTGGGCGGGTTCCCATGGCGTGGGGGCCGGAGCTTGAGGAGGGTGTCCGGGGCGGGGGTGGCGTCCGGGCGCCCCCGAGGCGCCTCTGACGGGCACTGTCTCTTCAGTCCAGCAGCCACACAGCAGCGCCGCCGATGTCCGGGCGCCCCCGAGGCGCCTCTGATGGGCACTGTCTCTGCAGTCCAGCAGCCACACAGCAGCGCCGCCGCCGCCGCCCAGCAGGGCGGCTACGAGATCCCGGCGCGGCTGCGCACCCTGCACAACCTGGTCATCCAGTACGCCTCGCAGGGCCGCTACGAGGTGGCCGTGCCCCTCTGCAAGCAGGCGCTGGAGGACCTGGAGAAGACGTCCGGCCACGACCACCCGGATGTGGCCACCATGCTGAACATCCTGGCCTTGGTGTACAGGCTAGTACTTTGCACTTTATTCTCTCGATGTTACCCAGTGATGGCTTTTCGAATGAACTTGCCCTCGAAGTACATTTTTATAAACCTGTTCAAGCTACTCTTCTGTGTCATTCACTTCTGTCCAAACAGCCAGGAGTTAAATTAAAAACATTTAACAAGCTCTCTGGCAAAAGTGTCACCTGCAGAATAGATGCTGCCCCGAGCCACTCAGCTCATCCTTTCAAGAAAAGCCCACATGGACCTTTCACTAGGGCCCATCCACACCCTTGGTCCCCTCCGGGTTCTGTGCCGCGGGTCCCTTCTGTGCACAGCGGCCTGCCCGCTGCGCCACCAGCACCCTCCCCGCCCGCCGAGGCCCGCGTCAGTGCCTTCTCCGTCCTGCGTCCAGGAGTCTGCTTGCCCTGTGCCCCTGCTGTGCCCCTGACCTTGTCTGCCACCTCTCTGTGGCGCTCCGACGTCACGCCTGGCCTTGGGGGTGGGGTCTGAATTTGTCTCCCTTCTCCTGGAGGACGAGGGCGTGTTTGGGTCTCCGCCCCTAGAGGTGCTTCAGCGGCTCCCTGACTGGGCCCTTGGTAAACACGCTGAATGGGGGTGGCCAGCTTGCGCTGTGGCGTTGGGGCCCTTTGCTCACCTCTCTTAGCTGAGCAGACCAGGTGAGTAGGGGCCGAGGAGGGAGAAATTTTTGACCCTGCGGGATTGGTTTGCCATGGCCATTCCAGTTTTGTGGGTTGCAGTTGCCTGCTTTATTTTTCTTCATTGGTTTGGTGGTTTAAACAGACATTTTGTAAGACCCACGTATAGCTGAGACTTCGGGCTGGTTCCCGCGAGGCCCTAGGGATGGATTAAGTAATTCCTGTACTCAAGGAGGAAGCAGAACGTGAGTTTGAAGTCAGGAGCATTCAGTTGTGTCTCTGCCAAAGGCCGCCAGACAGAAGACTCCAGAGCTCCGAACTTTTCTGAGCCTCGGTTTCCTCACTGAAATGGAGGTCGTTCCAGTCTCCGCTCGAGAGCCACGGGAACGATTGTAGGGGACGCGACACCTGGTGCTCTGGCAGACGTGATGTACTCAAATAGTAGTACGATCTAAATCTGTTTCTAGAGGGACTTAGAACCCCGTTCAGAAAACGGGCTGTTCATGTTCGTCCATAATCAGAAGCGGGGAGACTGCGGTGGCGGTGACGGAACCTCGCAGGCGTGTTCGCGAGCAGAGAGATTTGTCCTGGGGAGGCGCCAGGGACGGGCTCGCGGGGGGCTTAGGAGCGCTTGCTGGGGCCTTGCGCGGGGCGGGTAGGGTTTAGCAGGTGGATTTGAGTGAGTTTGGGGCACCCTCCTGACCCAGTTTGGCAAAGCTGGACGGCCCCTGAGGAGCGGCGGTAGGAGGGGCTGGGTGGGGCCGGGCCTCGGGCGGTGCCCATGGTGCCCGGGTTGTGTCTTAGGAGAGTTAGTCTGGTGCGGTGCCCAGGATAGAACGGCCGGGGCCTGGAGGCAGGGTGGCCAAGCAGGAGGCTCGTGGACACTCCTGGGGATGGAGCCAGAGCGGGGACCTGAGCGATGATGGGGACGGTGTGGGAGTAAGGGAGAAACGGGCTCGGTGAGGAGACGTGGGCTGATACAGCCGGCCGTCTGGAGGTGGGGGACGTCTGCATCCACACGGGAGGGAACGGGGGGCGTGTGTCACGACACTCAGCAGCTCTGCGCTTGGTCAGCAGTACAGTCCCGTGACTGCTCAGCACTCTGTTTTAGGGATGTTGCTGAATTTGGGGGAGTTTCCTATTGATGGACATTTAGGTTATTTGCAAATATTATAGGAATTTCTTAGTCACAGGTATTTGCATTTAAAATCTTGATTATGTTAAGGTTTATTCCAGAAAGGGTTTTAAAAGTTTGTCTATTAACAAGCTGAGAGCTTCTGGCTAACAATCGTCGTTGTTATCAATGAGCTAAGTAAGAACGCACGCAGAACACGACGGGGTTTTCGCTGCTGCTGTGCATAAGTGTGCGTGCTCACACACTCGTCGCTGTGCAGGCCCTGGGCTTCCGAGGCCTCACTTGAGTCTTGGGTTTTCTCTTAACACTATAGGGTGACATTACTCGTGCCAGTTAAAAGTGAAAGAAATTAGTAGCTTTATATATGTTCACACTTAGATTCAACATTGCATCCTGTAGCTGTGCCATAACTCATTATTACATTATTCCCGTACTAAGGGACACTAATATGCTGATGAACATCTTCATAATTTCTGTCTAGAATTTTGGGTTTTTCTTTAAGATCAGTTCCAAAAATGGGTTAGTGTACAAACAAGACATTTTACACGTCTTAGTACCTCTTGCTGAACTGCTTTTCGGGCTGGGGGAGCTGGTCCACACCTCTGCCCCACTGTTACCAACCTGGGTGGCATTGGCCGTCCCCTTGTCTTTATCAATAGAGATCGCAGCGTTGTGTTTGAATTTGTATTTCTTTGATTATACATTTGTAGTCATTTGGGTCCCTCTCTGCGTGTTCCGCTCTCTTGCCCATTTTTCTGTTAGGATTTTAATGCTTATAGTGATTTACTTCTGGTTTCATTTGAGTTTGAATTTCCTGGTGGGTATGTTAAGTGAGTCACAGACTCAGCAGATCTGGGCCGGGGCTGGGTTCCTAACACGGTCCAGGTGAGGCTGATTGCCATTGGATTGGGCGACATCTAAGTGAATAGCTCTTGGCATGATCTTGCTGTTGGCTCATTAAGAGCCCCTTGCATTTTACGGCATGTCACAGCTCTGAGAGCACTCAGTGTACCCCATCTCATTTAGCTATCATACCACTCTGAGGGAGTTGTTAATTGTTTGTAATTGTCTACTAGTTTTTGAAACTTTATTTCATACTTGGGACCTTGCACAAAAAGTTTGAGCCAGTTTGTAATAACGTGTCGGAGGATGATCGAAGAGAGAAAAGAACAATAACTTGGCCAGAATCAGTGTGCGTCTGGGTCTAGACGTCTTATAGCCATTCCCATGTTCTGTAGGGCATTCTGGCTGCTGCAGGGCAAAGCCTTGCTGGGCAACTGTTTTTCTTCAGTTGAGAAATATGTGTACTGAGTCTCGCAAAGCAGATGACTTGTGTGCAGTCACATTGTCGGTCGGCACCCTGGAACTCGGTGGGCTGGGGCTGGTAGTGGCCTTCCTTTAGCACAGTCACTAAGACTTCGTCCCTCCTTTCTCGAGTAAGTGAGGGCAAATCGTTTGCCGGATTAAGACACTGCTATGTATTGTACTTATTTTTAATGAGGTTTTTTTCAGTGTCCACGTAGCATGTTATCAGCTTCTTACAGCAACTCTGTGAGTTAGTAGTATATTTTATTGACAGGCCAACTGGGCCTGCAGGAGGCCACTTAATGTCCCAAAGCTGCCATCCAGCCATTAATTGGCAGAGCCTGGGATCAGTGCTGTCTGATGCCACATGACAGTCTCTGCACTGCCCTGGGCTGCACAGGGCCAGGTCAGAGCCAGTAGGCTGGACTCCAAGCCCCCCTTGCCATTACATGACTTGAAGAGTCCTTCCTCCTACACGAAGGGTATTTTTAACAGTTTTAATAACCGAATTGTATTTTTTAATTAGTTGAAGCTTAGCTCTTATTTCTGTAGTTCCAAAATTACATTTTAAAAAGATTTAGTAAGCTGCATCTAAAACACTTTAATGTGTGTTTTTCCTTTCAGAGACCAGAATAAATACAAAGACGCAGCTAATCTACTGAATGATGCCTTGGCCATCCGCGAAAAAACTTTGGGCAAAGATCATCCCGCGGTTTGTATATCTGCTTCTTTCATTCTTTTTATGTCTTATGTTCCCTGGTATGTTTTTAAATCCAACTGATTTTAACATTAAACTCAACAGGGAAGGGTTAAGAGCTGCCTTTCCACCCGATGGCACAGGTAGGCTCGTCTTCACTTCCTGCGGCGATCAGCCCCCTGCTGTGAGCCTTCCCTTAGCATGTGCCAGTGCACAAGTAATCAGCTTACCACCTCCACCTCGTGGATCACGTGCTCTATTTTTGATCTTAAATCAAATCGCATGTACTTCTGTAAATTTTTTTCTGAAGAATTTATACTGTCTTTTTATTGAAATCCAGTCAGATTTGCATACAGATCTGTTTTGGTTGGCTTTATGGCTTCCAGTGAAATTGGAAACAATCAAGGTCTTGTTGATGTTGACGTTTCGCATCAGTGTCCTGCAGCGTTTGTCATTCGTGTCATCTGGGTTACAGTGAAAGGCTCTCTTGCTTTGACGGAATTCGCGTTCCTCCATCGGCTGCGGGTGCGCTTGCACACCCGTCGGATCACTCGTCATCCTTCGCGGTCCCCTCTGTGTTGTAGGTGGCAGCGACGCTGAACAACCTCGCAGTGCTGTACGGCAAGAGGGGCAAGTACAAGGAGGCGGAGCCGCTGTGTAAGAGGGCCCTGGAGATCAGAGAGAAGGTGCGGCGGCCACGCGCGGCCAATTCCACGTGTCGGTTTTCAGTTCTGAGAAATGACCACTGAGATGTGTTGTTACGGACCATTTAGTGACAATAACTCATTCAGTAAGGTGGACAACCTCAAAAGGCAGCCAGGTTGGCCCATGCAAATCGGGGCGTATGCAGAGGGGGTACTCAGAGGGTGGGGAGTGCGTCTGCGTGCCTCCCTGGGGACCACCTAGGCGAGAGCACAGAGTGGAGAGAGCAGATCGCTTGTTCAAGGTACCACGGACGTGGTTTGGTATTTGTCCCTCCATCAGAGTGCATTGCTGGAGAAGACGAAGTGTTTGTCCTCTGGGCGCTTATGTTTTAATGGCTGGGAGCTGGGCGATAAAAGACTGAGTAGATAAATCAGGTCGTTTCCGGTAGTGATACCGCAGAGAGAATAAAGCCAGGCGAGGTGCTTGTGAGTTAGCTGGGTGGGCCTGGGCTGAGGTCTCCTTTCTCTCCCCGAGGGGCCTGAGGAGCGACATGAAGCATAAGTTGGGGTGGGGAGAAGAGCATGGGCCACCGGGACAGCAGGTTGGAGCAGCCCTGCAGGGGAGCTTGAACTGGGAAGGGACATAGAAGACCCGGTCTGCTGTGAGGGGCGTGTCCGCCAGCTGCAGGGGCCAGGGGTCTCCTTGAGAGGCTGGTGCAACAGGAACGGGGGCTGCGCAGCATTTGGGGCTGGAAGGCCCGGGTCTGGTACGGGCTCTGCTGGAACCTGCAGGCATAGCCACACCGCAGCCTGGCTCAGCCCGCCGTGCCGGGGGTGGTGCCCGCCCTGCAGGGTGGGTGTGAGGATTCGCGAAGGCTCAGTACGTGGAGATCAGCACGCTGCCCTCCCTGCCCCCAAGAATAAGAGTTCACAAAGCCCTAGTTCTTTTCGTTATTCTCTGGCACGGAAGCCATTTAAGGATGGGAAGCCTGGCCGTGAGGCCCCATCGCACTGACGCCGAGAAGGACCCTCGTGGGTGGAGGGGGGCTGGGTGCTGGAGAAGCAGTCAGTGCGTGCTGCTGACACGCCACCTCCTGTCTGCAGGTTTTGGGAAAGGATCACCCTGACGTCGCCAAGCAGCTAAATAACTTGGCCTTACTGTGCCAGAACCAGGGCAAGTACGAGGAAGTGGAGTACTATTACCAGAGGGCCCTGGACATCTACCAGACTAAGCTGGGGCCCGACGACCCCAACGTGGCCAAAACAAAGAACAACCTGGTACGTGGACGGAGGCGCGGCACCGTTCAGTGCGCTGGCCCTGAACCCGAGGGGTCAGAACCCGCCTTGCTTACGTGCGCGGAATGCTGAGCTCTCTGCTTTCCTTTAGGCCTCCTGCTACCTGAAGCAAGGGAAATTCAAGCAGGCAGAGACACTGTACAAGGAGATTCTCACCCGTGCGCATGAAAGGGAGTTTGGTTCTGTAGACGGTAAGAAATAGACTCTGTGTCTGAGCAGATGCTTTTTTATTTTTATTTTTATTTTTATTTTATTTTTTAGGTGAGGCAACCCTTGGTTGACCTCACAGATTGCAAGGATCTTGTCAGCTTACAGTCCCTTATTTATTATTTTTTACACCTGCAGCACCTGGTCTTCCTAGGTGGTCTCCCATCCAAGTATTAACCAGGCCCGACCCTGCTTAGCTTCTGAGGTCAGACAGGATCGGGCTTGTTCAGGGTGGCATGGCCGTAGACTGCAGATGCTTTGTAGGATGCCTGAAAAATGGTTATTTCCGGCTTGAAATTGATGCTACCCAAGACATCACAGTATTTCCAAAATAAGATTTAGTTTGAATTTTAGAGACGATTTTCCACGTAGCGTTTAGTGGAGAGGGCGTGGCCCAGCCTGCACACTCGTTGGCCCGTCCACTCATTCGTCATCCAGTGAACGTGGTGGGACACCACGTACGTGCCTGGTGTCCCTGATAACTCAGCGGGGTCGTGCACCCCGTGGTGAGGGGCAATGGGCCACCCTCCTCACAGCTTTTCACGTTGCTCTCTTCAGGCATAGCCTAGGTGCACCAAGTCTAGAAAGCCCCCCTGGAGACACTAACATTTTCTAGAGTGTCCTGTCATCCAGTGGGTCCCAAAGTGCTGTTGGGGACCAGCAGCACCAGTGCCACCTGTCAGAAAAAGGAACTCGACCCCGCCTAGGCCTGCTGGGTCACGCAGCTGTCGTAAGAGCCAAGGCTCGTCTGCTTCATGTTCATTGAATTAGTATTGGCGCATAATACACAGTTTTGGAGTAAATATTTTATCGGATTAAGATTGCTCAATGAAACATTCACTTTTTCCTCCGTGTGGTGTTACATAAGATGTTCAGAAAGAGACGGCTGTAACTAGTGTGCAGAAAACCTTAGAACGTGTGGAGAAGAGGTTCTGGCTAATACCTTTTTTCTATTATGGAGTTTCTAGAAACCATTGTTGTAAAGTTTCGAAGAGCATACTAGATTCTTCCCCTCTGTTGGTGAGTGGGGCAGTAGCCCTCGCTGGCAGCACACAGTGGTGCCCCAGGTTCACCACTGTGAGGCGGGCGACTGCGCCTCCCTGGAGCCTCGTCCTCGTCTGCCTGGTCCTAGGTGGAGCCCAGGCCACCTCCCACTGCCGCTTTTCACAAATTCTGTTCTCGGGAGCACTGTTTCTTTGTGATTTGCTTGTTTCTGCTAAAAGTGGTGCATGAAGTCAGTTAATTGGGTTCTAGTTAGAAGTGGTCTTTTTAGGCCTGGATTTATCCTCTGTACTGATGTTAAAAGGATAGAAGGCATTTTTTTCCTTCAGGCGAGATGCCAGCGTGTCCTGTTATGCTCAGTGCACACGCTCCCATGTCACGGGCCTTTCCTTGCTCCCAGCACGTGCATTGGAATTCGTGACCTGGTTTGTTGTCAGGAAATGAATCAGCAGAATTAGTTTGGCAGGTGGAGCTAATACTGTGCTAAGTAACAGTGTTTGTGAGTTTTAAATACTGTTCGCTCTCTGAAAACCAGTCTTGACCATGGGGATTATCAGGACTTAAGAACTGTCTTACACTTATTTTATGCTTAATCCGCCTGTGTTTAAAAACATTTTATTACGAGGAGGGGACTCTTAACAGGTCAGCACTGAGCACTGTCTGCAGTTCGGCTGAGTGGAGGCTGCCCAGCATCCCTGGTGTGGACGCAGGGCTGAGACCTCTGTACTCCTGAAAACGTAAACAGGCACACACAAAAATCAAACACAGACACCCGGAATCTACGACGGCTCATTCTGCTGGGACGTGGCACTGGTGATTGCTAACCACGTGTAGTCAGCGGAGCAGTTTAAATGTGTGATCTTAGTTTTCTCGCAGTCCTGTGGAGTGGGTCAGACATTCCCCCATTTTAGGAGTGAGGACGCCGCACGCTGAGTGACCGCCGGGGCTCGGTAGTGGCTGAGCGGTCAGACGGGGTGGGAGCGCAGGCCCTTTCCCCTCGTCGATGCTCACTGTGGGCACCTCGAGAAGTCACACGGAGACGGGGCCTGGCTGCCACCCACCACCTCAACACCCACGTCATCTACCTTTTCGGATGTCTTCCTTTCTGTGCCTAGTGATTCACGGAGTTGAAGCCATGCTTTACACGTGACCATGGGCTCTGCTTGTTTTCTTTTATACTTGTAGCTTAAGCATTTTCCATGCCATGAGAATATTTTCATAAACCGCATTTTGAAGACTGCTTATCCTCTGTGGTATGGCTACGCTAGTTGTCTAGAAACTTCAAATGAGTGGTATGTATTAATGTTCTTGATAGTTAAGGAAACTTTAAAGGAATGTTGATTTGTATCTTTTCTCCCAACATTTTACTACTTTTTGTTAGACTTTTTGTTTAATGCTAGGTTGCTCAAATTTTAAAACTCCCAAGTGTTGTGTGCGGATTCTAGCATTAAAATTTCAGAGTAGGGACCTTTGTGTTTGTCTGGTTTTGCTGTGTACCCGATCTGGGCACATTTGATTCCACATCTTCTGCCCACAAGGCTACACAAGACAGTCACTTCCTACTTGTTTCTTGTGGTCTAGTTCTGTCCTCATAGGCCTTTCCCGCCAAGTGGACGCCACCTGCCCAGTTGTGAGAAGTGATATCTAAGAAGGATGATGTGAAAAACAACAAAAACCTTGCAGTTCCTGATTTGAGGAAACTTCTGCCCACTGGGTACTAGTGCTTCAGTTTAGTGTATGATTTTTTTCTCCCCTAGATGAAAATAAACCCATCTGGATGCACGCCGAAGAAAGAGAAGAATGCAAAGTAAGAGGGTGCCGTTCGGAGAGGTTTTCTAAATTGGATATATTGCTTTCACGATAATTGCTCATTCGAAATAATTTTTTACAATTTAGGGAAAGCAGAAGGACGGGACATCCTTCGGAGAGTATGGCGGCTGGTACAAAGCCTGCAAAGTCGATAGGTATGTTTATTTAACTAAAAAAAACAAAACCGCTGTGGAAGGCACTGGAGCTGTGAAGGCAGCTCGGAAACGACCGTAGTGTGCGTGAAGCGCCTTCGGATGGGTGGTGGCAGAGTCCCGCGTTTTCCCAGACTCCGGTGCAAACCCCGTAACTTTGTAAGGTAACTTAAACATACGGAAGCTGCGTAGTGGGGGTGATACGCGTAAAGTTTGGGTTCCGTCTGCTAATACCGCTTTGTTTAGGACTTACCACCAAATCGCAGGAGGAGGAGGGAGCTAGAACAGCTAGATAGGCTCAAAGTGGCCTTAGAGCCAACTCATGGCAAATAGGCAGCAGACCTGCAAAGGCCAGCACGTTACAGGCATGTGTCCAGGATGCCGCGGGCGGGATGCTGCTGCGACCCTAAACCGCACCCCCGCTTCCTCGCTGCCCAGGGACTCCGTGGCTGCCATGGGCAGAGTGTGGGCCCGGGCTCGCCGCCCGCACTCGCCAGGCTGCCGCTGGCGCCCTGGTTTCCTCTTCCGACCTGATCTCCGTTCCTGCTTTTCCTGTCTCAGCGCTAACTCGTCCTCTGAGACTCCGTTACGAGCCGTCTCTTTCGGGAAAAGCTGGGCCCCTAGTCTGGGTTCCCAAAGTGCTCACCGCCTGTTGACTCTGTGCTTTGTTCCCCGCCACTGTCGCTGTCTCCGAGATGAGCACAGTTTCGATTTCTGTACCCACTGTGCCTGTCACTAGTGAGGAGAAGGTCTCCCGAAGTTCCTGTCTGTACCGAAACGAGCAGGTTTATTTCTGGCTTTTAGTAAGACCACTCTGTGGAGCACAGAGACGCAGCCCTCTGTCTCTGCTTTGTCATTCCCTCACAAGGCGGCAGTCGTCCTGTGCATGGGCTTGGGGTCGTCCGTGTCCCCTCTGCTTGTGGATGGAGGGGAGAAGGTGGATGGCAGCGTTAAGAATGCTGTGTCCTCCTCACTGCCTGACACGGAATAGTCTGTGTCTCCACGGGGAGCACGATGCTCACTACACCGAGCCAGCGCGGATGGACAGTCGCCAGCGGCCTGTGAGCCACAGCTGCAGGGCCCAGGGCAGAGGCCTCTGCAGGGAGCCTGGGGGTCAGCCTGCTGCCCCATACGGCTGCTAGGCAGGGGTGCTTGACGGAGAAGCAGATGTATATAAATGTATTTTACATTTAAAAATACCACAGAAATGTAAAAAATATTTTTAACCGAACATAAGCTACAAGTCCTTTAGATTACGTGGTATTGATAGCGGTCGCTGTAAAACTTATGTTTATAACAGTTCTGTGTATCATATGTTTTCTTTTAGTCCAACTGTTACAACTACTTTGAAAAACCTTGGGGCACTTTACAGACGCCAAGGCAAATTTGAAGCTGCAGAAACATTGGAAGAAGCAGCCATGAGGTCACGTAAACAGGTTAGTCAAACCTTCTACGTTTCACTTACTCATTTGAATTTTGAGTCTGATGATTGTTTTTATGTGACTTACTGAAATCTTGATTTGGGAAAAGAAACTCTTTAATGCTTTAGTTTGTACCAATAAGGTTATATCGTTTAAAAGTTTGCAAATATGACACCAGGACACAAGCTGTAAAAGAAAAACTCAGTTAGATTCACCAAAATTAGATATCTTTGTGCATTCAAGGACACTACCAAGAAAGTGAAAAGATGCCCACAGAATGGGTGAAAATATTTGCAAATCACATATCTGATGAGGGCCTGGTATCCAGAATGTGTAAAGACAAAAGGACCTTCTGATTAAAAAATGAGCTGAAAACATGAATAGACATTTCTCTGAAGATGATACACAAATGCCAACAAGCACACGAAAAATGCTCAGCGTCATTAGTCGTTAGGGGAATGCAGATCAAAACCATGGCGAGATACCTCTTTGTACCCACTAGGGCGGCTGCAATAAAAAAAGAAAGGAAAAAAAAAGCGTTGGCAACGATGTGGAGAAATTGGAGCCCCTGGGCACTGCTGGTGGGGACATAAAATGGGGCAGCCGCTGGGGCAAAGTCTGGTGGTTCCTTCGGGAGAGAAGCTGGGATGGTTGGATGGCCCAGGCACTCCACTCCCGGCCCAGAGTTGTCACACACACACAGGCAGTCGGACAGGTCCAGGCGAGCCTCGTTATTTGTGGTCATTTGGTTTTGTAAAGTTGCTGTGAACGTGAATTAGCAAATTTCCTAGAGGAAGATGCAGAGTTAGGTTCCTGTGAGCCTCTGATCACATTTCATCAACTGATCAGTACCTAACCTTGTTCTGCGTGTGTTTCTGCTTAAAGATGCCGTAGTTAGGATATGATGTTGATTTGTAAGTTCCGAATTCACGGCCAGTGCTGCTCATGTCGCTCATGCCTGCAGGAAGGCTGACACGGGCGTTCGCTCCGTGAGCCTCGTCCCAGCCTTCGTGTGCTTAGGAACACTGGACAGTACCTCAGTGCTATGCTTGGGTCATTTTAAACAGCAGAATCTCCAACAGAAAGAACAAAAATGCAAACAACGTGCCGCTAAGTGATTTCGCCTGGGAGAACATTGTTTAGAGTATGAGATAAAGCAGAATGTCACTGTACTGGATTTCAGCTGCGGACGCGCACGTCAGGTGACTCACATTTTTCGCCAGTCTGCGTGTCTGCAAATGACTGCAAGCAGGGCAGATGTGGCTCTTGGGATTACAAATAATGTTGGCAAGTAGGTGAATTCGCAAGTACAGCCTCTGTAAGGGGGCCGAAGTGCGCGTGCGCAGGTCCTCACGGGGCACAGCCGTCCGAACGTAGAAACGGCCCATGCGTCCACGTGGTGAGTGACAGCCCGAGCGTGGCCCACGCGGTGGGCGTGCTCAGCAGTGAGAAGTTGGAACCGCTGAGGCCCTTTCCCTCGTCAGCAGTCGTTTTAGTCGTGCTAAAATGTAACTTGTAAAAGAAATACAAGAAAAGGCTCTTGCCCTTAAATGACCAGTTTTCAGAGTAGAGAGTTAACTTAATTCTCTCTTTCAATATATACAGAAAGGTGGCAGTTTGTTTTATATTTTTAGGACTGGAGGAGCAGATATGGGTTCCCTCCCCCCCACCAAAAATGGCGTATGTGTAGCCTCCTATGTGGCTATTCGTTTATGGCCACGTTTTGGCTGGGATTTAAATTCCTCATATACCTTAGAAGTTTTTTCTCTCAAAAGTCCATGCAGAGCGATCGGAGACTTGGCCAAGGTCCTGTCGGCAGCACCTCGGGGAGCCCCTCCGCCGGGTGCTGGCACGTACCTGGGGTTTCTGACTGCTGTTGGACAGGACGCAGCCCAGGCTGTGTGTCTGCTGTGCCAGGGCGGGGCTCAGGCCGTCTGGAGCTCACTCTGGGTCTCGTGTGCCGTGGCCTGTCATCAGGAGTGCCGTCACCAGGATGGGCTTTGTTTTAAAGTGTGCGGTGATGTTTATTAAACGACCAGAGTCTGGAGTCGGGGGTCACAGGAACTTGAAGGAAGGATTGCTGCTGCTGTGCTGAGAATGGGCTCCTCCCGCTAGGCGGGGCCACAGCCGCTTTGCCCTCAAGGTTGCCACAGCGCGTCCTGGAGTTTGTGCCTCCTGAGGATGACGGCGGAAGTCAGCAAAGGTGCAGTATTTGCACCAGCTGGTAGGGTTGAAATCCCGTTTAGGACACAAAGCATGTCACACCGTAGTCACCAGATCGTACTCAAACCCACGTGAGGAGTTGCTGTTGGGTCTTAATCCAGTTACATGTTAACCCAACCACGTGCGACGCCGTCGTTGAGAAAGCTAGACGAGTGCTTCTTCCCGCACGCGTGAGTGTTTGCTCTCCGGATGCCTCTTGTAAACTAGCGGCTGGTTTTTGAAACGTTATGCTGACAATAAAGTCATCCATGAGTTTTCGATCACGGGCTTACTTTGGAGGTGCGAAACACGAGGGATTTAGTGTTAAAGTGTTAAAAACTGGCCATTTTCCCAGCATCTTATGATGAGATATTCCAAACATAGAGAATGTGGGAGGGTTTTGCACCCGCGCACTCGCCACCTGGATTCTGCCGTGAATACTTTGTTACCCGTCAGCGCGTCCCTCCCACCTGCCCGCCCGTCAGTCCTGATTTAGAAGCAGGTCGACTTCGCGTGCCTCAGTGCACGTCGCTTCTAGATCCTGGAGCGTGCTGCTCATTCACTGGGACTCAGTCTTCACTCGTAGTGTCTTTAATCTGAAGTAGAGTTGACAGACAGTGAAAGGCACAAGTCTCACGTGTACGTCTCCAAGAATCACTGCTCTTACGCTCCATCCGGTGTTCAAGAGCTGTTCGGTCTCTCCAGTGTCCTTCCGCTGTCTGGGCCGTTCCTCCCAAGGCGCAGTGCTAACGGGTGGCCCCTCTCCCCCAACCCGCAGGGTCTCGATACAGCTCACAAGCAGAGAGTGGCTGAAGTGCTGAATGACCCTGAGAGCACGGAGAAGCGCAGAAGCCGCGAGAGCCTCAACGTGGACGTGGTCAAGTACGAGAGCGGCCCTGACGGGGGCGAGGAAGTGAGTATGAGCGTGGAGTGGAACGGGGTGAGTACCGCCCGTGGCCGCCGGGCGCGCGTCCCGCGTTTCTCCCGTCTCTCCGCTAGGCAGCTGCTTTTCTCACGTGCTGTACGAATGAAGCTTTCCGCAGTTCTCATCTTCTGCTAATACTGAAGCCTGTGATTTGTTCGAAGTGGTAATTTTCTTTTTAGGAATCCATGAAAGCTGTTTGGCTTAACTTAAACGCTGATTGAGTGTCCTGGTTATTTAAAGCATAATCTGTAATCTGATTTTATTTTAATACTAGGGTCAGTGTGGCCAATCACTAACTCGCTTTCTTAACTCACCCATTTCCATTGCTAACTCCGGGGCTCCTAATTTCGCTGACCAGGGTGCTGTAGATTCCGTTAGAATCAACCTAAACGCCTTCAAGGGACGTGGTGCATCAGACAGAACTCATCTAGAGAACAGGCCCAGAGCAGGAGCGTCAGGTGTCTGTCCTCCGTGTCCCTCCTCGGTCCAGAGCGCTGAGGGGCTGGTGGCTCCCTGTTCCCCACAGTTCGCTGCCCGAGCTTCGGGGGTCCAGAGCACGTCCCGTGTTTGTCATGTGTCAGCCCCTGGCCAGGCCCCACCTCTGGGCTCCACCAGTCTGCTTTCGTGGACGTTCCCAGCACCACTGCTCACCCAGAGCATGTGGCCTTGTGGCCGGTTTCTTTCCAGGCCACTTTTGTGACACGTGGGTAGCTTTTTGTGCATTAAGCTGGTTTCTTTGGGATTTTGTTTTTATCGGGGAAAGTTGCGTGCAGGGTTAGCTTAACGCTTCCAGAGGCACTGCCAGGTTTTTTCCGAAGCCACGGACGCGTGGTTTTGGTTGTAATGGTGCAGGTGTTTTGTGAGGTCGTTTTGGGCTTTCCTTTAGTCTGTTTCGGAATCTGTTTATTCTTCGGCATTTTCTGTGGCTGCAGCAGTTCGGTAGGGGCCAGTAGTGTGAACAGACGTTTTGCAGAGTGGTAGTGGCCAGAATTTCTGGCAGAATGCCTTCTTGTATCTTTACCTGGCAGCTTCCTCGCTTCGGGTTTTCCTGTGCCCGGACAGCCAGTCAGCGTCTGCTCTGGCCGTCCTCCCCGTCGGGCGGTAGTCCAGAATGAGAACGGTGGTGCGCGGTGCTCGCCTCGTCCCTGTCCCACACTGTGTGCCGTGCTCGCCCCGTGACCCTGCCTGCTGTGTGGGGTCAGGTCCCTTCTCCAGGCTCTAGGTGCCAGGGTGTGGGTGTCGATGCTCTTGAATGAAGCTCCACAGGAACTTTCTCTCGAGACAGTATTACTGGGTCAGTCTCTCTAGGAAATCACACGATAGTGGAACTGTTGGTGACTGGAGCTGCCGTTATCTCCCCGTGGAGGGCCGGTGGGCGGAAGTACGGGCGAGTGGGCAGGCGCGGTCTCTCGGCTGAGTGCGCACCTGCTCCTTGTTTCACTCCGCATTTCCTTCTCTTCGGATGTGCTGTCCCTTAGGACGCTCACACACTAGGCTTTGGACACTTTTTCACCTGAGCGTTAGACACTACTGGCCCTGCATCTTTGACAGAATCTGTCCCAGGGCAGACCGAGGGGCCGTGGGGTCGATTGAAATGAGCCAGCTCTTGGGGCGTCCTGTGCAGAGGTTCCTAAGGTCACTTTCAGAGGTGGAAGGGGCCTTTTCTTCAAATGGAGGGGTAACGGAAGGCAGCCATGAACAGAGGGCTGACTCTCTGCCTTAACCGGGTAACCGGGGAGGGGCAGCGGGGGGCCGGAGCTCTCCCCGCAGGCCACCCCCATTGACCGCTCAGACTCAGGCCGCTGCCACCCTTGTGGGAAGGCCTTGGCTCCAGACTGGTCTCCTTCAAGTGCCGAGGCTCTCCCAGACCTTGACGTGAATTTTATTTTTAAAGCATACTTTCACTGTTTAAAAAAGAGGCAATAAAGGCATATGCACACTTAGGTGCTTTTTTAAAATCGGCTTTATAGCGGTATGGTTGTAGACAGCCGAAGGAGCCCCTTTTAAGGGTCACGTCTGAGTTAAGTGCTACCTGGGCGGCCGGCACGGCAGCCGTGTCCAGGGCCGAGGCGCGCCCCTCCCCGAGGCGTTGGGCAGCGGGTAGGGGGTAGGTCCGTTCCGTTTGCAGGGCCTTTGCACGCGGCACGGTTTCGTCCGTGTCGTGCAGCGGAGAGGAAGCTCGCAGAGGTCGGCTGGGAGGCGGGGGACGTGAAGACGGCCCCGTCACCGTCACCGTCGCTCCCAGTTCAGACTGGGCTCGCACGGGGAGAGTCGGCGCTCTTCCTGAGAACCTGTTACACAGTTGTAACGAGAGAATGCCCTTTAGATTTTTTTATATTGGGCTTCCTCGTTGGGTTTTAATTTTTTCAAAAAGAGTTTCAGAGCTCTTTGAAACGTCTGGGGACTGCCACCCCAGGGAGCACGTCGCGTGGCCGCGTGGGCAGGGGCTGGGGGCAGCCGACAGCCCCGCTCAGCCGTCCCGGCCGTTTGCACAGCTCAGGCGGGGTTTTTCTCAGCATTCAGAAATAGCATTTAAAACGGGGCAGTGAGGCCGAGTCAGCACGTAGCCGAGCTGTGCGCCATTAAAACGTAAGGAGAGAGAGGTTACTGGGCATAATCTGATAATTAACGTGAAGGTTTTAATCAAAGCCTTGACGCGGTGGGAGATTTGTTCAGGGAAGTACAATTCTGTTCTTTTAAGCAATGCTTGCGATTCAAGTGTGTGAAGAGACAACTTCCTCAGACTTATGTTTGTATGGCATGCAGATCTCAAAGTCCTTGTCCAGAGCTCTGAGTTGTGCTCCTGAGGGTGCAGAGGCGGTGTGTGCGGGCCCCCGTTCCCTCACGCACGTGGCAGCTTGTTCACAGTGGGCCTGTATGCGTGGGCGCTGCCACCGGGTCCCCACCGGCTCACGCGCCCCCGAGCTGCGCTGTGGTTATGTCCACGTGTTTGTGGCAGTCCCCAGTCCAGGAAGAAGCACCACGTGCCCGCATCCGGTGGCGCTGAGATCCCGCTGGCCGCTCCCGGCCGCGCGTTCCTGCCGGACCGTTGGGCTGCCCACCTCCGCTGGGGCCTTCGGGGTGACCCCCAGCCCCGGCTCTTTCCACACTGCTCCTCTTGCTGTGTTTCTAAAAGCTTCGACTGCACTAAACTCTTAACCGGGATGGCTGAGAGTCAGGTATAGTTAATTAGAAATAGATTGATTTTAACTTAAAAAATTGTATTAGGAAGACAACTAGAATATACCCCAAAAATAAAAAACCCAAACCACCAGAAATCTAAGACCGTAGTTAACCAATACGTTCACTGTTTATTTCGTTAGAAACTCACTTTTTGGTGAAAGTCCTCTTTCACGGCAGGAGGCAGAATGACCGTTTCGCAGCGTGTTAGGATGTGGTGAGGCCCTCCTGTCCATGTTGAGGGGGGCCCATGGGGCTCGGCGGGTTCGGGACTCTCCGTGTGGTGAGCCCAAGGGGTGGGCACACCTGCTTCACTGTCCCCAGGCACTGCCCAGGGCCAGGGCCAGACGGGGGTGTGTGTGTGCGACACGGGGCCCCTTCAGAGTATCTGGGACATGAGCGTCAGAACTGACCCTCCCGCAGGGCTGCGGGAGGTTTGCACGAATGGCAGGAATTGTACTGTTGATTGGATCCTGTTAACACTTTTTAAAACATCTTTCTGAAGAGCAGCAAGAGCTTATGTTTTCTTGTGCTCCCAGCGTCCATGGGGGAGTCGGTAACGAGTTCTATTTTTCCATTTTAAAGATGAGGAAAACGAAGCTCGGGCTGGTTAAATGACCTGCTCGGCGTCCCCCGGTGAGTCACGACGGGCACGGCCCCGGTCCCCAGGTCCCTAGGTCCCCGCCGCGGGCTTCCGCGTAAGGCTGTCAGTCCCAGCCCACCAGCACCCAGGATGCATTGCTGCCTGTGGAAATCCATTTTCTATAATTGGTTTCCTTTTGGATCATCAACTGCATGTTTAGAACGTGCGGTAGAGTAGACTTTTAGAGTCAGTGGTTTCTTAAAAGTTTCTGAAATGTCTGAAATGTTAGCGTTTTTAAGAAAAAGCCCCGCCTGATTTCAGAGAGCCCGTCATAGTTTAGGGGGAGCTGACGAAGCCGAGGCTTAGGAGAACAAGCTCTGCCTGTGGGTCGTTTCTCGGTCACTGTCGATGTTGTCATCGCGGACTCTCCTTTTGTGGTTACTCGAAGACCCTTTGGCAGTCGGCCGCCCGCAGGAGCCTCCGGCGCGGTGCCGACCCGTGCCCCCAGCACGCCGGCGGTGGCCGGTGGGGGGGACAGGAGGCGCGTGCCCGTCTCGCGCCGGGCTGACAGAGCAGGCAGACGTTAGCCCCAAGCACGAGAGCGATTAAAACGCTGCGGGGTTTGTGACCTGGGAGTCCCGCAAGCCAAGCCGTGCCGCGTGGAAGACGGGCTGTCCCCACCGGCTCACCTGGGCTCTCTCTCCGTTTCTGTCTGACAGGCCTAGCTGCCTTGTGTGACTCTCGCTGTCTGCTGCATGACGGGCAGCACCTCCTCCAGCTCCTCCTCTCTCCGTGCTGACTGCTGTGCTTAGCGACCCTAGGAGTCTTGTCAGAGCGCCACCTCTCTGTGACTGGCCATTCCTTTCGGTGCTGCTGTCCTTTTGGGGGGTTCCTTATCTCTGTATACTTGTAGCTTTGCCGGATATGTACTTAGTATTATCAACTGTATTAATAAAAACCACTTACTGTGTGATAACATGAGTGTAAAAATGAAGAGCGATTAGCTGTTCCCTTTGGTAGAAGGTAGTCACAGTGTCCCGCAGGCGTCACGGCACTGGCATGATGGTGACCGCTGACACTAGCTAGGCTGTATGAGTAGGGCATGTGCTGTTCCCGTTGTCCTCCGAGGCCCGGCGGGGCCCCCCGGGCTCGGGGCTCCCCTCAGCATCGCACTCCAGTAGCACCCGCTCTTGGTCTGTGTGGGGTCCTGGCGGTTCCGCTTCTCTCTACTAATCTCTACGTGTCGAGTGGTTTGTGTACCTGTGTCTTTCTAACTTCTAATAAACTCACTCCAACTGACCTGTGTCTCGGTGTCTGTCTGCTTAGAACTCACTCTTGCCATGCAATGCAGCATCGCGTAGCTTCTAGAAGGAACGGGCTTCTGTTAATCTTACTAAGTGATTCACTCTGAAAATAAAAGTTGCTATACACTCATTTTTTGCTGTGTGTTTTGATTTTCATACTGCCAAATGTTCCGTTTATTAATGTCTGATTCAGTTATGATGAAAGCTGGGTACTCGCTTGCTTTTTACAAGGTGTCTGAGAGTTTTGAGTTATTGTATAGGATGTGAATTTTATTTAATTTTCCAACTACATTTGTAATCAACATTTAATAAAACTTAAAATTTACCCAAGAAACAGTACATCGAAGTATCACATTTAGATGAAATTGTTAAAAAGAAGTTGCCTCTGTCGAATATAAATGTTTTCGGTCCCATCCCGTCATGTGGACCAGACGGTTCCATATTTATTAAATGTGCAATCTGATTTTGGTGATAGTCCTAGAAGCTGCCTTACTTTTCCTGAGACTTTTCGTGTGTATTATTATCTTTTCTTTCAAAACAGCAGCCTACTTAATCTCCCTTTGGGGATGGTATATTTGTTCGAACTTCATGTTCAGAGGTGCTCATGATCATTGGATTATCTCTGATGAAATTTAAAATGCGTAGATGTCTGTTTAAAGTGTACTTACGTGCATGGCACTTGGGTGATTTCCGCAGGGGTCGCGTTGCCCGCGGTCACCGACGCGCGGTCAGCCGCGACGTGGCTCTTGTCATTCAGCTTTGCCTCTTGGGGTCGGGAGGGAGGACCATCTGCAGCTTCACATTTGTTCACGTTTTTTTCAGGATGGCACTGGATATTTAAAACGCAGTGGTTCCTTTAGCAAACTCCGAGCCTCAATTAGACGCAGCAGCGAGAAGCTGGTTAGGAAGCTGAAGGGAGGAAGTTCCCGAGAGAGTGAGCCCAAGGACCCCGGGTAATTATCGCTGCCGCCGCCCCCGCTAACGCCTCTCTCCTCCCGCACAGCGTTCTCGCCCTGGCTCCGGAGGGCGTTCCCACTCTTCCCCACGTTAGCAGCGCACAGGTCTAGTGGTTTCCATCTCGTTTTCCTGGCATAGGTTGAGGATAATCGTGAAACTTCCTGTGTGGAGACTAAAAGGCTGATGCCTTTCAAAGAAATTTGTGGGCTCTCTGGTTTTGTGACGCATTCAAAGGAGGACTGTAATATTAAAACATCGAAGACGTTAACTTGTTTACTCTAGATATGCATTATTTATTTTCAAAATTGGCATTAGGTCAGATCCTTTTAAGTGAGTTTTAATTTTTTAAATGTAAAAGCTGACTATGACTATATTTCCTACAGTTATTAATATCGGGAGAAACATGGTTTTAAATAGGATCACAATTTCAAGACTTTATCGTAAAGAATCTGTTTAGGAGATTTAAAAAATGCTAGGTTTTCATTGTGTTCCAGGAAGGGTGCAGGCGTGGGTCTTACTTAGTCTTTTGAACCACGACGTTTAAGTCGTCACAGGAATCCGTTTCCGAGATCGGCTGTGTTTTGTGCGCTGTGTCGAGGGAGGCCCTTGGCACTGCCGTGTCGGAGTGTTCTGACCAGCCGCCTGGCTCCTGGGTCATTTCTGGCGTAAACGGACAGCATCCTGTTTTTGGATGCACTTCTCACAGAAGCACTGTTTGTCAGCTTTTCCATGAAACTCTGACTTTCAAAACCGTACCTGCTTTTTAAGGCTCAATCTTAGTGAAACTGCTTTTACAGTGGTGCTGTGGCTGCTGCGGGTGAGGGCCTAGGGCCTGCGCGGGGTGTCGTTGGGATAGTGAAGTCGAGTGCCTTTTCCATTGTCCTCTTTGCTGTTTTAAGTATGTCCGGTCTCGTTCCTCTCATGTCAGTCAGGGTCCAACTCCCGAGGCCTGTGGTGTCCCCACTTCCCCCTCAGGTGGGGAGCAGGCCGTGCAGTGAGGCGAGGCAGAGAGGGGCCCTGCCCTGTGCCCTGTGCCCCAGGCCGCTCTCCTGGGGCTGGACGGGACCCTTGATGGCTTTGAGGCAGGAGAAGTGATTGCGTCTTGTAAGTGGCTGTCGCCCTGTGTCTCAGCAGTGTTCACGAAGCCCTGTTCTGTGGAAGAGTTTTATCAGCCCACGGACGTTTGCTGAGAAAACCACCCCAAAGAGCCAGTGTTGGGAGCCAGTCAGGGCCCCGAGCACACGAGGGGCTTCGCGGCCCCAGTGCCTTTGACGAGACTCGGGGACACGGACTGGGGACGAGGTTCCACGTTGCCTTTGGCATAGAGCACTCTCGTTTCATGCTGTCCACAGATTTCCAGAACTAAAGCGATCGGCTGCTCACTGCCTGCCTCTCTGAATCTGAGGGGTGAGACATTTTTCTAGTGGCGTCACGGGGGTCTGAACAGAGCTGTGTGAGCGTGTGGTCCCTGTCCCGTGCCGGCAGCACGAGTGGGTGACACGGTCATCGTCCAGTTCCTCGGGGCGCTCACACTGCCTGCTGAGTGTTTTGGAGCTCTGAAGCGTTTTACACGCGAAGTCCCTCTGATGGGGACCTTCTTCCCACGTGACAGCTTGGGAAGCAGTTTTCCGTCCTCTTCGCTGCCGTGTCCTGTCTTCCCTGGGCCGCAGCAGCGCGGGAACACCCTGCCCGCCACCCCGGTGTCGCGTGACGGAGGCCCGCACGTGCTGACTCTGCTGTCCTGTCCTGTTTGGGATGCTACCTGAACGAGCTTTTTGAAAAACTAAATGACTAGAAACTTCATCCCATAAAACACGTGAAGTGGGATGTTTCCAGTGAGGGCGACAGTTTGTGGTAACCGTTCCAGTGGTTCTCAGACTCGAGCATGTGTCAGCATCTCCTGGAGGGTTCGGGACCCAGGCCGCGGGGCCCCGCCCGTGTGTCTGAGTCAGCGCACCCCCACCCCCACCCCCACCCCCGCGGGCCTTCGTGGCACGCTGTGCTCCCAGGAAGCCGCGGTGCTGCTGGGCGGGGACGAGTTCTGAGAACCTCCGACCTGGGCCTTCCTGGAGCAGGGCGTGCGGCTCTTCATGGGCACAGCCCCGCTGGGTTCCTGGGCCACTGAGCCGCCTGGCGTTTAGACCCCGCGGCTTACACGGGTGGCGTGGGCGCGATTCGGGAGGGTCAAGGGAGTCAGGTCGTTCTGTTGACTTGTAAGGAAAAGGGCGTTTGTGGAAAGGGCTCTGCAGCTTTCTTAGAAAAAGTCGACTGGCAAGTGACGGAATAATTAAATATAATTTACTTGTGATTTGATTTTGTTTTATCCTTTTTCTTAAGTAGTTCCAGGTAGAAAAACACTTCTTCAGACTCCAGCAGTGCTGGCGTGGGGCTCATCGGGGTGTTTGTCTTGTCCTGGGGGACATGTTGGGAGTGAGTTTTACTTGGGCATAGGTAAATCAAGGCCTTGCTTTTGGTGGAGTTGACCCAGTGGGCACTTAGCGTCTGCCGCTGGCCAGGCCGTGCTCCGGGTGCCGGTGTCCGCGCGGGCCGCGCCTGGCTGTGCCAGCCCTTCTTCTCACCTGGGTTGGGCCCTGCAGCCGGCCCTCAGCTCACGGGGTAACTGGTAGTGATCACCTTATGTCGTAGGTAGTTCAAATTCAGAATGATAGATCCGGTTGTAAACACTTAAAAATAACCCCTGTTTATTGGTTATTTTATCTTTAAAAGCTAAGACGACTTTATTTTAGGGCATTGTGATGGCGGTAAGCAAGGACAGTAATTTTCTGAGTGTCCATGACTAGTCTAGCATGACAGGTAATTTGTAGGACATTTCATCCAGTATTTTAAATGTGTCAATGGAAGGAAAAAATCAATTATATCTATAAAGCACTGTATTTCTTTAAATGTAGTCAAGAAATTTGTTTGAAATTTTGATATTTAAGCAGAGAAATAATAACAGCTTCAGAGCTTATTTTACTAATGGAAAAGTTATTTGTGTTCTCTACTTTTATATAGAGAAATACATAAAATCCAGACTGTGGTTACGCATTTGAGCTCAGCAGAGTGTGTGGAGTGTGTCTTTCTTTAACACGGTCACTTAGGGTGATGTTTTTTTACCTGAGTCGTCCAGGTCCCCTTCCTGAAACTCATGTGATGAGGCGCGGTGGTCTGGACACCCTCTCGGCTCCTGCGTGCACGGGGTTCTGCAGAGGGAAAGGGCAGTGCCACGGGAGTTGACACGTGGCACTTCGAGACAGCCATTTGTGCTGAGGAGAGACACAGAACCCGTGCTTTTTTATACTGGGCGCAAATAGCTAGACCTGGGATGTTGTGGTAAGAATTGGGGTGACGTCAGGGTCGGTCCCAGGGACCCCCCGTGCTAACAGGCCTTTGAGGGGTGGCTTGACTGTGTCCTGCTCCTGGTTGACCAGTGTGCTCACGGTTTGTCCTTGCATGTCCGCTGTCCCGGCTGCAGCATGAAGCGTGCCAGTTCTCTGAGTGTCCTTAACGTGAGTGGCAAGGCAGCAGAAGACCGTTTTCAAGTAAGGACCCTGTCCCCTTCACATCCTTGACCACTCGGGCCAGCCGAGCCGGGCTGCACAGACCCTCCCTCGCCACCTCGCCACTTGGTCGGGGCCCTGCGGACGTTGCCCTGCTCCTGAGTCCCAGGCACATGGGCATGTGGTGGCGGCGTCTTCTGCGTTAATTTGACTGAATTGTGGGGATGCTCACGTTGTGAGCATTCTTAGTGTATTAATCAGTGATCTTTACAGGTAGTGTGATTGACCTAATTAGAAATTAAATATTCTGATAAAGTAATATCAAAACTTGGTCAGTCATTAATTCGTATTGTTAATTTATATGATTTTAGTCTCTAATAAGTTTATAACATTTATTGTCTAGGTAAGCAGTTCAGTGTTTTAGAATGTTCCAAACTTTACTAACATAAGTAAGTAACATGCTGCCGCTTTGACACTTTGTCAACTGTCCAAGTCTTGTGTGAACAGGTCACCGTCACATTTAAAATTGTTGGCTCCCTCTTCTCCATAAAAAACGGCCTTTTTATTTTCCATTTCTTTTAAATGTCTGGTGTGACCGTCGGACTAAGGCCAGGCCCCTGGACCCTAGAACCTGGCCCTGTTTCTCAAGTGTGCCAGCCACACCGGGCAGCTCGGCCTCGTGCAAAAGCTGCCACTCATCTGCTGGTGACCAGACTTCTGGTCACGGTGCCCGTCAAGGCGGCGGCCTCCCCAGTGGCCCTAGTCCAGCTGATTCAGACTGGTGTTCGCTGACAGGGACGGCCTGGCAGACATGCTGGCCTCCCTCCTCACCCCCAGCACCCTTGGGAGGTGAATTCCCAGGGGTGCTGCTCCCCAGGCTTCTGGTCGGAAGCCGCAGGCTGTTGGTAGGAAGCTGGTGGTTTGCCGTGCGCGCTCCTGGTGATGGGAGCGTTTTGTTCTGGAGCCGGGAGCGGACAGTCCTCCCGCCCCCTTCCTGGCGTCTGCTCCTGGAGCGTCAGGGCTCTGGTGCTGACGGACTGTCCTGCAGCTCTTAGAGCTGCGACCGCGTGAGGCTGGCGTCCTCCGAGGTGCTGGTTAACTGTAATTTTTCCATTTGTTTTTTCCATGCAGGACCGAACTAATTGTCTAGCAGACTCAAGAGGTCTGAGTGCCAGCCACACCGACCTGGCCCGCTGCGGGCCGAGGCCGAGCTAGCTGAGCCCTGAGGCTGCCGGGCCGGGCCCGGCCCTCCCCTAGGCAGTGACCCCCACCAGCCCAGGGGGGCTGCCCGCATTCCGTTAAGTGGCCCGCCGTCCTGGGGCCGGACAGCTGCCCGAGCACGCCCGCAGACCCGGCGGGCGCAGCGGCTTCAGCACGCCCGGAGTCGCCGCTGCCACGGACTCGTGCCCTTCCCGCCACGGCAGCAGGATCCGTTCAGTGCTAACTTAAACACCACACTGAGTAGGCTGCGGGTCAGGGAGCGGCAGCCTTAAGCCACACACCCTGTGAGGATCTGCACCCCGATCCTCGGGGGAGTGAGCGGGAGGCAGGACGGGACAGTGGCCAGCGGCTGTTCCCTCTGGGAGGTCGTCCAGCCTCCGTGCAGTGGGACACCCCCTGCTGGACATGGCCTGGGCCCACGCTCACCCCTTGTGGCCATTCTCTGTCCTGGCCCCAACTCTAAGCAGCATTAGTAATAAAAGGCTTTTCCGGTAGCGTCGAGCACCACAGTGGGCACTTGGACAGGAGCGTTGTCACATCCGGCCTGAGGCCTGGTTCCGTAAGGGAGGTCGGGGGCCTGACCGATGGGTACGACGCTTCTAAGCAGATGACAAGATGAAGCTCCAGATGACAGCTGTGCAGAGGGGCACGGCATGCGATGGCTCAGAAGCTTCTTCCTCTAATTTGACGGGGGTCTGTGAGCGTCCCTGTGGGAGACTAACGTAATGACGCAGGCGATGTCACAGCAGAGGCCTAGTGTGTGTGTATTACTAGGCACCTCTTCCTGTGACTGGCACTGGGCTGCGTACGCGCCCACAGGGGCTCACGGAGAGTTCACCGAGGACTCTGGGCAACTCGCTGGATTTACTGGGGACTCCCTCCGGGGTGCCCTGGAGTCCACATGTGGTTCAGCCAGAGTGGGGGCTCGGGGCCGGAGGCAGCACGCCTGGGGTCTTGTCACAGCGAGGCTTTCCTGGGAGTTTCCTGTAATTTAGTGTCACCTGTGGCACAGCATGCTTGTGGTGAAAGCGCACTTTTTCTCATGGCACTCGCAGCTGTGCCCTGCTGTGCCCGCGGCCCCCGCAGACTGTCCCCTCCAGCCTGCCCTGTTGGCCACGCCCCTTTTTGACACTGTATTTTTGCGGCTGTCACGCATCAGGACGCACTCTCTCGACGCTCTCCAGAGGTGCTTAAAACTTGACGGGTCGTAGAAACCAGTCAGCAGCGGAGAGCACAGTTGTGTCCTCGCGTAGAGTGGACGCTGCGGCCTGCAGTTCAAGTCTCAGCGGGAGGGGCAAGCTGGTGCTGCCGGGGGGTCATCTGCGCCCCGTCCCTGTCAGGAGGCGGACCTGGGAGCTGTTCGTTTCCTCCCTGCTGTCTGCAGCTGGAGCTCTGACAGCACGTGGAAACCCCCGCGGGCTCCCGTCGTGACCGCCCCCTCCGGACCAGCAAAGGCTATTCAGGGAGAGCAAACACGGGCCCAAACAATTTAATTTTAAGCTCCCAGTTGCTGGAAACAGGCCGTCTCTGCAGGGACCTTTTTCGAACCTGACCTGGCTAGGAGCCCGTTGGCCCGGGTCCCTCGGTGGCTTGTGGTGGCCTTTGCAGGGTGTGTGGGGAGTGTTCGGTGTGAGGCCAGAGGCCTCCTGAAGCCAGGTGCGACACCCTTCCCATCCCAGGGGATGCCGCATGGGAGTCTGCGGTCCGATTTCTCAACTTAGACCCGAACAGAGATGGGCCAGGTCGTAGCCCACTTCTGGTCTGAATCGTAACTTTCTCCAAGAGCAGCAGTGGGTCCAGCTGTCCCCCAGTGCTGTCCTTTCCCAGTGAGGGGCCCTAAGGGAGCCAGCCCTCGTCCATACGTAGTTCCTGTCAAGGTAGAGTCCCTGAGAGGATGGATGTGGGCTGGAGCCATGCTGTCTCAGCAGGAGAGTCTGAAGGCCGAGGTCCAGGCAGGGCAAGCAGCGCGGCCCCCATGGGCTCCTGGGCTGGGTCCTGCAGCTGTCTTTGTTTACAGTGTTAGATTCAAATAGTTATTTTCTGGAATTAAAAAAAAAATTTCCATGACCTGTTGGGTCAGGGAGCTGCTAGGAATATCATGTAATTAGAAATTCAGTAAGATTAAGTATCACTAAGAATAGTTTGTAATAAAGTATCTCATCATCCTAACTGTGGGATGTTCTTGGAAGCAGTTCTGATATGTTTGTATTTGCACTTAATTGTGAGCAGTGACTGTGTGATCATCAGACTTCTGAGAACTATAAAGTGGCACTTGGATGGCACTGACCAAAGGCGGGTTCAGGTCAGCTGAGTGGGTCTGGTCGGGGCAGACGGCAATTTCCGTGACCTGGGCGGGCCCACAAACTAGTTCCCCAGCGCCATAGGGGAGGCCTAGTGGTTTGCAGTGGAACTAAGCTCCGTGGGCATGTGGGGGTGTTGGGGCAGTGAGGATGAGCTGGGGGAGTGCCCATGGTGGGGATGGTACGTAGCAAGAGGCCCAGGACAGCAGTGGTGGGTGCTCCTTAGGGACTGGCGTTTGGATGGGGCTGGGGGCACCCCGGGGCTGTATGCAGCTGCCAACCTGGCGGGCAGGTGCAGCTCGCTGGTCATCGTTAACTTCCATTCTGCCTGGGGGCTGTAGTTTTGTTTGTGTGACTTAACTAGAAATCATTTGGAATTATTTATGTTTAATGACAAAAATAAAGTGTTTTATTTCCTGTTGTGAAGTCCTGCAGTTTCGCAAAGGCTCTTTGTAAACTCCAAGCCCAAGAGAACCCTTCGAATTCCACCCGCTGTCCCTAACCTTTTGAGGGCCAGACTGTGGAAATTTGATGAAAGCTATAAACAGACCACCCTGCTCTGGAAGGACGTCCACACCGAAGGTGGCGGACCCACCACGGGTTTCCAGCCCATGCCCAGTGCTGGCGCCATTGGGGCCCACGGTGCGTGCTGCAGGGTTGTAGGACAGTGGTCAGGTCACTCTTCCTGTGCCTGTCCTTGAGACCAAGGACAATAACGAGACCCATCTCTGAGGAGTCTCTCCTGAGGACCATGCCTGGCCGAGAGCATGTGCCAGTGAGCAGGCCGGGGCCACGTGTCTGTCCAAGGCCACCCTGCACCAGGCAGCATATGAGGCACCGGGGCAGGGATGAAGACACACTCGGCTCTGCCCATGCAGACGCCACTGGGCTGGGCCGTCACGACCCTCGGTGACCGCCGGGCCTCATGGCCCCATGACCAGACGGTCAGATTCCGGTTGGCACCAGATGCAGCAGGACCCTGTGCTGACGGGGGTCCTGCTCTGACCTGGAAGGCCAGCTCCGCCCGCGGTGAGGAGCTGGGTCTGTGTGGGTGGCCCTGCTGGGCGTCCTGCCACCACCCTGTAGGATGGACACCCCCCCAAGCCCTGACGCCCGGCCTGGGGAGGCTCTGGGGACGTGACGGGACGCAGCCTTCTCTTGTGAAACAGTTCTCGTTTGCCCCTGACTGGTTTTCCTGCAGATGGGCCAGCGCGGGCGTCTGCTGCTTCGCCAGTGGTGGCTGGTGGCAGAGGCAACACAAAAGTAAAATAAGCACCCCCTCTCCCCCAGACCCCTCCCTGGACCTTGTGGCGGCACTCCAAGGGGGCAGGGCCAGTGGGCACTCATGTCACAGTGGCCCTGATGCACGTCCTGGGCAGTGGGGCCAGGCAGCCTGGGGGGGGGAGGCCCAGCCCACGAGAGCCTCGGGGGACACAGTGGCGACCCCATTGGGCAGGTGCCCAGGGACTGGAGGAGGCTGTGGCGTATCCGGGCCAGAGCTAATGGGCGGAGGCTGGAGAAGCTGCTCCTCGAGGGGTCGGGGCCGCCAGACCGCCGTGGCGCCTTGTAAGCCAGTGCTGCAGTAGGGACGAGGGCCCCTGGCCTGAAAGTCTGGTGCATCCTGAACCCCAAGGAGAGGAAGGAGCAGGTCCCAGTTCCCAGGTAGGGCCCCGGTGCTCACTCTCCCTGGGGTGAGGACGTGGAGCCGACTCCCTCGCGGTGATCTGGGCTGTGTCTGGTGACTCCGCGTGCGGAACAGGCACCCCTGGGCCCTGGCCGCGGCTCTGCTACTGTGGCATCAGCAAGACTCGGTCCCTGGTGTCCCTCGCACACCCTCAGTGTTGACCGTGTAGGAACAGGACGAGGGGGGCAGGTGGGGGGCGAAGAGGACCCTCAGGGTGCGGGCGGGGCAGCCCGGCGGGGCGAGGGGGGCCTCCTCGGGGCGGTGCCGGGTGGCCATCAGCCTCATGAGGAGCTGGCTGGACCAGGCGGTTCCGAGGGCCGGGGCGAGCCGCTCCTCCCAGGTGCAGGGGCCCAGAGCAGGCCCCGCGTCTCGCTCCTGCACGGCCTCTGTCACCTGGAAGGTCAGGGTCAGGGTCAACTGCAGGCCCCACACTGCCGCCCCACCCCCAAGCCTCTGCTCAGCAGTTGTGCCCAGCTCCGGGGGTGGGGGGCCCACCTGGTTGATGCAGAGCACGGGGCTCTGGAAGGTGCAGCTGAGCCGACGCAGTGCGGCCCCCAGCGCCTGCAGACGCCGGGCCCTGGGCGCTGAGGCCGGCCCGTCAGGCTCACAGCGGAACGGGGCTGCCACCGAGTCGATGACCACCAGACGCACCATCCCCCGAGACAGCAGCATGGGCACGTTCCTCCTCACACACTCCAGCAGGGCGTCCTGGAGGCCATGCGGGGGTGTCACTGCCCGCACCACCCGCGTCTCCCCCCCTGCCTGGTCCCGAGGGACCCCTTACGTCCTTCCCATCTTACTCCCAAGTCCCTGACAGGTCTGACCCCTCCCTGCTTGGGGCCATCACCGCAACAGGGCCCCGTCCTCTGGTGGCCCCACGCCTGCCTGAACACCTGGACCTGGCTATGTCGCCAAAGCCAGCCTATCCCAGCTGTGATAACTGGGACTGCACCCTTGTCAGGCGGGTCTGGGGGTGGCCCTGAGCCCCACCCAGGCAGCGGGACAGGGGCCAGTTCTGTCCATCCAGCAATGCCTAGAGCACGGAGAACCCTGGGCTGTGCCCAAGCTGCACACCAGGGAGTGGACACCACGCAGGGGCCAGGGTGAGGGTGCAGGTGCCCCCGGGCCAGCCCTGTCCGTCCTCCCGGGCCTCGGCCCCGCACTCCGAGCAGCCCTGGCCTGGCCGGGGCGGAAGTGGCTGGGCTCCCCGTGGCCAAACGCACAGAGCCGTCCAGTGCGGCTCCTTGTCTGGAATGAAACTCAGTTCTGTGCTTCGACCTCCAGGTTGTCTCCAGCCGAGCCTCTTTTTGTGGAAAATGCCAGCAGCAGCGGTGGCCTGGAGGGCGCTAACATCAGTGTGAGTTCTGCACCCTCCCCGTCACCGCAGGCAAGCAGGGGGCTGCACCCACTTGCTGCATGGCCCAGGCTCTAAGAGGGGCCTGGCTTGGGGTCCCCGTCCCCCGGGAGTGCCCCGCCTCCCGCAGTCTCTAGGCAGACACGGGGCTCAAGGGCAGGGCCTGCCTCCCTCCAGGCTGGTTTCAGGACAAAACAGACGCCGCCGGCCGCGGCAGCCCGGCCTGACCGTGGCCTTCTCTTGCAGTGAAGCTGCACCCAGCCAGAGACACAGGACGATGCTGCTTGTGTGAGGACAGAGCCGGCCCTGTGACAGCCAGGGGACAGCCGCCGAGGCTGGAGGGCCCTGGAGTGGGGAGCCTGCAGCACTAACCGTGTCCCACATCCCGTGCCCTGGAACACACTGTCGTACTAACAGCCACACTGTTCGGCAGGACGCTCGGCGGGTGCAGCCACCGCCCCAGGGCAGCCGCCTGTGTCCTGACCGAGTCCAGCCTCACGTGCGGTTTCTCACATTACTGCCCCATGCTGTGTGTGATGATGTACTTTACTGTAAATTTTTTAAAAATTAAAAGTTTATATGTCTTATTCTTTACTGGAAGTTCTTTTTTGTACCAACTCTTAAACCAGGGGAAGCCAGGTAGAGGGGGCCCTACTGCTCCTTAACTTTGATGTGCTGGCTCGTCAGCTTCCCACCTTTCAAGTCCCTTCCAATCATGGCTCGTCCCTCTACTAATTGTGGCCTAGGGTCGAAAAGCCGACCAGGTCACAGCTTCCCCACCCATCTGGCCGGTCCAGCTCCCCAGCAGCCCCTCTGGTCTGTCCCCATGGGGATGGAACACTCGACTTGGTGACTTCCAGATGTGGTGTCACTCCAGCGGCCCAGCCAGGCAGTGGTCAGCGATCTGGGTGCCCAGTAGGCCCTTGCCAGGTGGAGCGCCCTCCATCAGAGGCAGAGGTCAAACCCAACACAGACTCCTCTTGCCTGGGGCGGGTCCTGTCCTCTGAGCAGTGGTCACCTCAGGGTGGCCCACTTCAGCCTTTTCAAGGGGACGGGCTCGTCCCTTCCCCACTCCTCGTGCGTAGGGTTGATGGGAAACACACAGGGCGCCCAGCTCAACCTGAGGGTCAGGTAGCGCGTCTGTGCCTGAAGGTGGGGCAGACCGGCACTGGCGTCTGACCGGGCAGGACACTCACCCCGTCGGCCGCGTGCTTGATGAAGATCTGGTTGCTGAACTTGATCTTCCTGACCACCTCCCCCGGGACGTCTGCCCGCAGGCGCTGCTGCTGGGCGATGAGCTGCTGCAGACGCTGGCTGGGGAAGGCGTCCTCCGTGCAGATGTACACGGCCCCTGGGAACACAGAGCGGTGAGCACGCCGGGAACCGAGAACGGCCCGTGGCTGCCTCCCCCTCCCACACATGGCCCCCACAGCCAGGGAGGGAGGCCAGACATCGTCTCCGACCCCAGCCACCCTGCTGACAGGACGTCACCCTGCAGGTCGGCCCCTGGGCCATCTCGAGTGGAAGAGAGGCATTGTGGGGAGTGCGAGTTTTTGGAAGCACCCCCTCCACAGACCCCGGGATGTGCTGCAGAGGCTCCACCGGGCAGACACCTCCTGAATTCCACTCAAGGCTCCTCCTGTGATCCCGGCCTACGCAGTCATAACTGTCCTGGCTACGATCGGAAAAGCAGCCAAACTTAACTAGATAATGAGCAACACGTCACCAGAAGCCTGCCCAAATGAGGCAGCACGCCGGCCGGGGCCTGGGGCCAGCAACTAAGAACACAGGGCCGCCCGAAGTAAGCCCTAGTGTTGATGGCAACTGATTTCAACAAAGGACAATTCAGCGGGGGAAGAACAGTCTCTTTAACAAATGGTGCTGGGACAGCTGGGCATCCACATGCAAGAGAAAGCAGTTAGATGCCTACGTAACACCACCCACAAAATCTGCGTCCAAACAGATCACAGGTGAGAGCCAGGACAGTAGAACTCTCGGACGACAACACAGGGGCAGATCTCTGTGACCTCCGTCAGGCAAGGGATTCTTAGATGTGACACCAAAAGCACAAGCCAGGAAAACTAAACTGGATTTCATCCAAATGAATTTTTTTGTGTGTTTCAAAGAGGACACCATCAAGAAAATGAAAAGACAACCTACTGCAAGAAAATACCGCCAATCAGTTACCTGATAAGATTCTAGTATCCGGAGCATATAAAGAACTCTCAAAACCCAACCGCAGAAGAACAATAATCCGAACTTTAAAATGAGCACAAGCTCTGAATAGACATTTCTCCAAAGAGACGCAGCGACTGACAAGCTCGTGAGACGATGCTCGATGTCGTTAATTAGGGGAAAGGAAATTGAACCACAGCGAGACCTGTGCAC